AAAAGTTATTATGATCCTTAAAAGTAGTAGTAGAAGTAGTAGTAAAAGTTGTAGTAGTTGTAGTAGTAGTAATAGTAGTAGTAGTTGTTGTTGTGGTAGTAGTAGTTGTTGTTGTTGTTATAGTAGTAGTAGCAGTAGTAGTAGAAGAAGAAGAAGAAGTAGAAGTAGTTGTAGTAGTAGGACTGGTAGTAGTGGTAATAGTAACAGAAGTAGTAGTATTTTTATCATCATCATCATTTTTACTATCATCCTTACTGTTGCGATTTATAATTAGGAATTATCCTAAATTATTTTAAAAATTGCCGACTGATAGGCAGTTACATGATTTAAAAGCAAACATTCATTCAATCATTCATTCATCTATCCATCAATTTTTAAACTTATTCATCCATCCATCCATCCTAACATTAATTTATTCATACAAACCTTTTTCAACATTAACATATTTGTCTCTCTGCTTATCTATTTTTCAATCTATCTTTCATTCATCCATCCATTTTTTATCGATGATCCACTTCTCATTCATTTTTTTCACTCATTCATTCATTTGTTCATTCATTCATTTGTTTGTTCATTCTTTCATACACACATACATTCATGCATTCTGTGGTTCAGCTGGCTCCAATCGCTTATAAATCTTCTGCTACCGCCACCCTCGGCCTGCGGTCTTCCCTACTTCAGCGGTTATTCAGTTGCTGTGATATTCCTTCCCCAACGGCTATTCCTGTCGACTGTACGCATGTCCAAATTCTAAATGAGAAACATAAAAACATTTTTCAAGTCTTTGTCTCCATGCGGCGACGAATCTTCCACTGCTCGTTTGCCAGTGTCCGGTGTTGCCAGCTGCGGTTGGTTGAGATCGTGGCTCAACACCTCTCTAGGCTCCAGGATCGACGACTAGTCGGTAAAATTTGCCAATGGTTTCAGACTCAGCCTGGCTGTTCAAAACAAATACGGAGCCGGGGTTGATGAATTTTGTCAGCATGGTCTGGTTTGTCGTCTGGTTGGGGGTCGTCAACTAGGTCGGCTTTTTTCTAAGGCTTCAATTTAAGTTTCCAAAGAGCTATCCGGCATTTCAGTTCACGATGGTAAGCGCCCCGTTGGTTGTACCCTAATCCCTTGGAGTATCGGTAGGTGTTTGGCGTGGGACGTTAGCTTACGCAAATCTCACAAGTAAGGAATGTTGTTTGGCGTGGGACGTTAGCTTACGCAAATCTCACAAGTAAGGAATGTTGTTTGGCCGCGACCAGGGAAGCGGACGAGAAAATTAAATAAAACTAGAACGCCCTCCCCTCGATGGAAGTTTTGCCGATATGCATCGAGGTCTTCAGCCCTGTTGACTCCAACACTTTTGAATTCCTTAAAACAATATGTAAGTTAATTAGCGTTACATCAGGTGACCACTGAGGGCTGTTTGTTGCAACGAATCACATTTCGTGCATGTTGCAGCGGTCCCTGCGTGTCTGTGTCATGGAGAATATTCAACTGAATGCCAACCTGTGCAACTAACGACAGATCAAAGTGTTAATCCATTTGTTACTTGACGCTTGACTGTTCGGTTTCATTCATTCCTACATACATACATACATACATACATACATACATACATACATACATACATACATACATACATACATACATACATACATACATACATACATACATACATACATACATACATACATACATACATACATACATACATACATACATACATACACACATACATACATACACACACACACACGCACACACACACACACATACATACATTCTCTAACTCATCTACATAGTTTTTTTTCGTTCATTCATTTACTTATCCATCTACCCAGTTTTCTATTCATCCAATTAATTTCCCATTTAATATTTTATTCATTAATTTATTCATTCATTCGATTCTTTCATTCATTCATTTATTTTTTCAAACACTCGTCCGACTATCTATTTTTTATGTTCATTTTTTCATTCATTCATACGTTCGTTCGTTCGTTCGTTCATTCATTTTTTCGTTCGTTCGTTTGTTCGTTCGTTCGTTCGTTCATTCATTCATTCATTCATTCATTCCTTCATCCATTCATTCATTCATTCATTCATTCATTCATTCATTCATTCATTCATTCATTCATTCATTCATTCATTCATTCATCCATCCATTCATCCATTCATTCATTCATTCATTCATTCATTCATTCATTCATTCATTCGTCCATCCATCCATCTTTCCTTCCATCCATCGTGGCAGCAGGTTGTTTTATGTTCCTCGGATCTCGGGGCCAGATGAAGCCATGAATATTCTCACTGCATTGACACTGCAGTCGCTGGAAGGTGTCAACAAAAAATAAAGCAATAATATATGTCATGCGTCTCTATCACAATTTATTCTGCCAATATAAAAACACCTCACTCTCTCCACACAAATCACTCTCTCTCTCTCTCTTCTCCCTCTCTCTCTCTCTCTCTCTCTCTCTCTCTCTCTCTCTCTCTCTCTCTCTCTCTCTCTCTCTCTCTCTCTCTCTCTCTCTCTCTCTGCAGGAACATGTTGAACGTTAACAGAGTTCAAATTTTGCTTAATAGCAATTCATATTTTAAACCATTTTTAAAGTAAACAATTGGCGCTTAGACTCAAGCAGTAAATTTAAATTTTGTAGTTTTCTTTCAGAATGATTGAATAATATTGAATGGCTGCAGCTAAGCAATAACTCTCACGCTCCAACGCAGCTAATAAAAATGTTGAAGTCTGTGGAATGTGAAAATGAACCTCTAATTTATTTGTTCTGAAGCTTTGTGAACTTTCAAACGCTGCTAATTACGCGCAACTAAGACAACTGAAAATAAAGACGATATATCAGCTGCCATATAAATTCGCTTGTATCTGGAGGACATGTCTGTTTCGAAGCAACATATTGCATGAATAATATAAATACGATGCTGCCTCTCCATTGCAATTCAGTTGTTTGATGGTGAAAAGAATTAGCTATCGATGATTGTAAAGTGTTTGTCAGGTTGTGGAAGGCAACGCTGTGGAACATTTGTCATGTATGTATCTTGTTTCACTTTCGCGCTCACAATGTTTAGTAAACTTACGACATTGAAGTAATAAGATGGCATCTACTGCTTCAAGTTGGTTTTATTTATATTTGGAAAAAATTGAATACAAAAGATTTATTTTTAAAATTAGATGGTTTGCATTAACTAATGGCACTAAATATTACATAAAAAATGAACAAACTGTTTATTTAAAAAAATAAATTTCTGGGCAAGAATGATAACAAGCAGCGAATGCTTGCGTTGGTGTTGGGTGTTCACTGTTTAAAAATTTGCAAAATGAACGAGCGTATGTGTTAAAAAACACATCGCACACATAAATGTTCAACAAAATGTTACGTGCACATATGGGATTAAAAAATGTAGGAACCAATTTAACACTGCAAACAAATTAAAATTTTTATGAAGCTACACGTTCTTATTTTCACTTCACGTAATTAGCACACCAAGACGATGGATTGCCAATGTGAAACAACAACAAAAGTTAAATCCTTCACCCTTCCCAAAAAAATACCATTTCAGGAAAATTAAAAATGATTATTTAAGGCAGTTATTTAGGCCGAATAAGGTGCATAAGAAATGGAGGGTGAGGAGAAAGAACACAAAAATCTGATGTGCGAGTAGCATGGGAGGAAAGATGAACTGCAGGAGATGTTGGCACGTCACATCTTAACAAATATTTGCATCACAAAATTATATATAAACTAGATTTTAAAGTTTTCTTTAAATGGAAGACAGCAGTAGTCTGGTCCTAAATGCTTCATTATTAAATATCAAGTTATTGTTATGCGAAGGTTCTGTGTCAACAACACTCTGAGGTTTTATATATATCTGTCCGTGATTTGTGAACATGAGCTAAAAGTTCGTATCAATGTGTCAGTCACATTCAACAGAAACACAGGCAAATTATTAATATGACCATCAGTGTTCGATCTTTTCATTTTTCAAGCTAAACATCATTAGACACTCAACTTTTTTAACACTTCGACATTTCGAAATGATTTGAAAAAAGAATCTTCCAACAACCTTGACCCTCACTCATCCTTTTTCATTTTTCAAGCTAAACATCATTAGACACTCAACTTTTTTAACACTTCGACATTTCGAAATGATTTGAAAAAAAAATCTTCCAACAACCTTGACCCTCACTCATCCTTTGTGGGACTTGCCTACGCAAAGTTCATTCGGAATAAAATTTGTTCCCTCCTATCTTACTCGCATGCTTCTGAAAGCAAACTTTTTTTCAGCAGCAACACCAACCGTTGAATGAGGTGTGTTTGTTATGAGTTGCTGAATGCTACAGTTTCAAACTTCAAAGTGACATAGTCCGACTGTCATTTAACGGTTGTGCAAACAACGGTTTGCTGATGCAAATATTGAAAAACTTAATTGAAGTTTATAAAAACAGATGGAAAATAAAAAAACTTTAAGAATCACACAATGTTATTCAAAGTCCAACAGATAGAAGCTCATCTTATGATCCCTAACCCCACAGATGCACAAACAAACCAACTATCCAAACGAATGAACAAACAAACCAACTAACTAACACAAGCAAATGAACAAACAAACCAACTAACACAAACGAATGAACAAGCAAGTAAACAATACAAACAAACAGATCACCAAAGTAGCAATTTGATTACCAAACCAAAAAACAAGTAAACGAAACCATCGAACAAACCAACTAAAAATTAAACCAACAACAACAAACAAACACCAAAGCACACAGACAAACACACAAGCACACAAAAAACGAACAAACAAACAAACACGTGAAAGAACAAACAACAGCGGACGAATGCTGGAGTTATTTTTTATGAGCTGGACTCACAAAGCAATGCAAGTTGTAAGCAGATGATTATAACGAGGATTTACGTACCGAGCACAATGAACGAACCGTAATATTGTTATGTCAACGAAAATTATTCCCCACAATAGAACAAAATTGTTTTTTAAGATCTTATTATTTTTGTTTGTGGCCAAGTGTGATTGTTAGCCAGTGTGTTTTCATGTTTGTTGGCCATTATAAACCCGGCTAAAGAAGGTATTGGAGATATGAATGTAATTGATGAGACGGTCGGAATGTTATGATTGAACGGAAAGCTTGCTGCAGCATAAAATTTGTTCTCGTGGTTGGCAGAAGTTCGCAGTTTGCTGCTTGATGGACTGCTGCCACCTTCGACGAACGAATGATGTTTCATCTGCGTGGTCACATGTGCGTTTCAATGATTCTCTGATTTGCCGTGTTAGTGCTGTCAGCGTTTGTTGTTCAATGACAAATTTGTTGACGGAGATGTGATAAGAAGTGAATGAACAACTGACTGGCTACCAAAACAAAACAACGTGTGCCAAAAAAGTGCAGATTGGTCACTTGTTTAGAATTGTTTCAATTGTTTAAAAATTTGTTAGGAGAAGCCATCAGGACTTACTCCGTCACCTTGAACAAACACAAAACTCCATTGAGTAAAAATCAGTATAAGATTAAAATTAACAAACAAACGAATGTTGCACGACAGATTCAAAAAAATTTATACAAAAAAAAAGTTTATGTTTCGATGTTTTTATCGCTGAAACCTAGTGAGACATTCTGTAAATTTCGTAAATATGCTAACCTCTGTTCGATAGAAAGAAATCGTGGGATTGAGCCATGGATGTTTGCTTCATGAACATCATCATCATCATCACCGTCACTATCATCATCATCACTATCCGGAGTGACCACCGTGTCCACATGAAACAAGGCATCATCATAACTTTGTAGGTTGTTGTTGAAATTGTTGATGTTATTGATGTTGTTGTTGATGGTGTTGTTGTTTTTCTTCTTCTAAATGATGGTGGTAGTAATAGTGGTTGGAGTGATGTTTTTTTCAAGGAGGTGATATTTTGTGAAATTGTTACGAACAACTATCTCTCATTGGCTGATTGATATGGCGCGTTGTTGGCTGCACCGCAAGAAGTTTCATTCAGTCTCGCCGGTCGCCGGCGTTCTTTGGCGTCCTATTCCAATGCTATTCAGTGTAATGATGATGTTGTTGTTGACGTCGTTGTTTTTGTTTCTGATGATGTTGTTGTTGTTGTTGTTGATGTTGTTGTCGTTATGGATGTTGTTGTCGTTGTGGATGTTTTTTTGTTGTTGGAATTGTCGTTGCTACTGCTGTTGTTGATATTGTTGTTTTTGTTGATGCTAATGATGTTGTTTTTGTTGTTGCTGCTGTTGTAGCTGTTAATGCAATGTTATTGTCATTTCAAAAGACATTCTGCATACCAAAAGGTTTTTGTGCGTGATGATGTTGTTGTTGAAGTTGATGTTGTTTTTATTGTTGCTGTTGATGTTGATGTTATTGTTGATGTTGTTGTAGTTGATGTTGTTGTTGTTGTCGTCGCTGCTGCAAGTTCATTTGTAATAATTTTTTTGATGATTGCAACGATGTGTGAATGTTCGTTAGCATGGCGGGTGTTCGGTGCGTTTGAGCCAGGTGATGATGATGACGATGAGGACGATCATAATAAAAATGATAACACGAACAACGATGATGATGGTGATGATGATGGTGATGATGATGGTGATGATGATGGTGATGATGATGGTGATGATGATGGTGATGATGATGGTGATGATGATGGTGATGATGATGGTGATGATGATGGTGATGATGATGGTGATGATGATGGTGATGATGATGGTGATGACGATGACAATGATAGTGGCACTGATGGTAATAATGAGGGTGATAATGATGATGATGATGGAAAGCCAGAACAAATTTTTAAAGTTGAATGAATCGGAGCCATTAAAGAAAGCAGACCTAAAATGAGCATTCATTCACATTAATTACTACATCATCAGCTGCCACATGAAACATTCAAACAACTTCCAACTTATTGGAAGTTGGTGCTGGTTATGACATTAAACTGACCCTCACTGCCTTGTGAGTGATGTTGGATCATCAAAGGCTAGGCCCACCGCTTATAACTCTGGTTGCGTAAGGAAGGGCGTCCTGCGTAAAAATTAGCCAAATAAATTACTTATGATGACAGAAGTGACAATGGTTTCATCATAGGTAGCCAAACGGCAACCCCCGATCTCGAAGAAAATGTCGTCTAAACGTGTGTTGTTGTTGTTGGGAGTTGGTGTAAAATCAAATAATTAACGATGCCAATAAAAAATTCAGTTACAAAATTTAGCTGGAAGTCTTGAAAATTACATGAGTTTTCCAAAATCAAAGTGAACCACCATCTCGACATATTTGTAGTTTTTAGCCTCCTTAAAACTTTTGCCCCAGGCGTGATATTTCAACTGAATTATCGTTAGTAATTTTATTTTAAACTAAGTAGAAGTACAACAAAAACGTCTCAAATGGTTTCGCTGACGTCAGACCTAACTCCAGGAGACCGTCAAGTGAATCCACCAGTGGCAGATGCAGCACCTATGCGGTGGTGGAGGAGGGATGAGTTTCAGAAGTCTCAAAGTATTGACTTTTCTGGCTAATTTTTGTTCAGTTTATTGAATCTTCAATATTTTCTTTTTCCATCTTGGTGAGAGGTATGCATCCCCACACCCCCCTCGACCTACCACTGGCGAGCCCTGCCGTGTTGGAGGTTACTTCAAGTGCCTCCAAATTAAGGACGCTCATGTCAACACATCAAAAGAATGTCTGTTAGTCAATAATTATTTTAAAAAAATAAATGAAAATATTTGTATGTGATCATCAGGGGTTGAAATGTTTGAAGAAAATTTAAAAAACTACATGAGGAAAATGTTTTCAAAATTTCGTGGCATGCAAAGTTGTTGCAACTTACACATCCTCACTAAAATGCGTAGCAAAAATAATGTTGTATTGCAAATTCGAACAATTTTGGTGAAGTTGATGAAGTTTAGTGTTAAAATTGGTCGGGCGTATCAAAACAATCTAACAAGAGCACCTGCAAGAGTTTCAAACACAATCGTACATCATATTATTTACACATTTCTTCTATTTATTGTTTTAAAATAATTTATCTTTTTATTTTTTTTATGCCACACGAAACTCTTAATAATTTGGACCAACGCTGCCAGCACACAAACACAATGAAGCACTCCGTCACACACACAAACACACACACACACACTCACAAACACACACGCGACGAAAAAGTGTGCTGGTTAGTGATCCACCTCTATCACATGCCTTCAAACGCACACACATACATCATCACAACATCATCACAAACATTTACACGCAAATAACCATCCACACATACTTACTGCTAGACACTCTCAAATACACACATACAAACACACATAAGTGCACAAACAATCACAGACACACACGTACAAACATTCACATGCGCATGGATAAAAACCCAGACACACTACAAACACACAAACACATATACATAAGCGTCGAATACAAGCAACCTTTGTTTGATGCCTTTATTAAAAGATGCACCGCACTGGCATTGAAATAAACAATGGCAGCCATTCAGTAAGCAGGCATACGATGACAAATTGCTCAGCAAAAATGTCGTACCCATTAATAATCATAATAATAATAATAATTATTATTATTATTAATATTATTTTTATTATAAGAAGGAAAAAATGAATGATATAAATAAGAACATTTATAAAAACGAATAAAAAATAAAATAATCACGATGATCATGATGATGATAATGATCATAACAGTAATAACAATAACAACCGTAACAATAACAACAACAATGATAACAGCAACAATGATGTAAACACACTCTTAAAGCTGTGAGAACAACTTGAAAGAACGAAAAAAAGATGCTTGTGACGATGATCATGGCATAACAATTGGTTATTATTCTTCCTTATTGAGTTGAGAGTTTCGCAATGCATGTGCTTGCTGGCAGTGACCTCCTTCCTCACCGTCGAAGTAAGTTTTTTTTATTTGTTCATCTAAATATTTATATAGGAAATAGTTTGAAATTTTGATCAGTGATCTGATGTAAATATTATTTTTATAACATTTTCATCCTTTTGAAATTATTACTGTGGATCAATTGTAGTGCTAAATGAAATAGAAGAGAGACATAAAAAGCAGACAAAAATCCAGCAAGTAAACAAGCAAACAGACAGTTAAACAGACAGACAGAGAAACAAACAGACGGACAACATATTTGTTTGAATTCATTGAAAACTCTCTCAGTAGAGATAAAGTCAGTAGGGAGTAGACCGCACAGTCCTAATCAAGTTGCTCTACCTGCACTCACTGCTCTACATCACTGCAACTATTTTTAATTCACTCCACAGCCAACCTGATCATACAACTTCTACCTTTCCAGTTTAATCACAAGTTTGAAAAGATTTGGTTAGTATGGAGACCTTCTCATGAAACCAACACATCCAACAATTGCGTCTGCAATGAGTGTCTAATTTTTTAGAGGAATTATGGGAAGAATGTAATGAGTAGAACTTAAAAGGGAACAGGTTGAGTGATGCAGATTGCACACGTATTGACTTCACACCTTCTTTTCATAGTTCCCTTATTTTGTTGTCAACAGGTATTAATTTATCATTTCTGACTAATCGCATGCTAGAATGACAATGATCTCCATGTTTTTGGCTCAGTAAATTTGTGTTTATCCATTTTGTCTGTGTGTGTGTGTGTGGATTTGTGGGTGTATGTATGTATGTATGTATGTATGTATGTGTGTGTGTGTGTGTGTGTGTGTGTATGTATGTATGTGTGTGTGTATGTATGTATGTAAGTATATATGTATGTGTGTATGTATGTATGTATGTATGTGTTTGTGTGTATGTATGTATTTATGTATGTGTGTATGTATGTATGTATGTATGTAGGAATGTATTGTTATAACTTCACGGTTGTCTCTATGTAAAACTACAACCTCGCTCATAATCAAAAAATTTTCAATCCAACGATTAAAGATGTATAAAAAATAGTAAAGATAATTTTAATAATTGAAATTTATTATATTGCGCAACTCGGCCATTCCAACGGTTATAACAGTATATAGGATTGTATGTATAGGACCTACTATTTTGATCCTGATTGAGCAATGAGGAACCTAATGATCACATTCTCTTTTCAATGTTTATCTGACGTATTAACAACAAACACACAGTGCAAAGGAATACACATGAAGCAGCGCATTCCATACATGGCATGTGATATGCGGAGGTCAAACCGGTCTAGGCCGTAGCCGTGCCAGGCACTTTACCGTTATACCATCGCACCGCTCATATAATAAAAACGGGGCAATATGGTTACACGATGTGTGTGTGTGCGTGTGTGTGTGCGTGTGTGTGTGCGTGTATGCTGGGTGATTGCATTATGATCAATGATTAAACATATTCTGGTTTTACATCTGTGTAATAGTTACTAGTTTCCAAATGCATCTGCAAATGTTTGTGCAAATGTATGGAGGGCGATTGATTGTGCATATAATTTATGCCCACTTGTTGATGTTTGCATGTCTCGGATGTCTTTGTTGCATCACCATAAAGGCTGACTCCATGTAAGCGACGTCCTACGATTTCCCATGTGCATGCGTGCAGTGGCCGATTTAGGGGGCCGGAGGAAGCCATGGTCCCGTTATCAACAACGACGACTTTTGTAACATTTCTTAAAATTTTGCCCTTTCATATTACTTGATCACATATTTTAGTATACATTACATTACAGGCACTGTTTTAAAAAGCAAAACAGACGAAAACTGTGAGACAAGCAAGAAGGTCGTACAATTTTTCATAGTTTTGCCCCCGTCAAAGTAGTCCAGTAGAAGTCGAAACCCAAAGTCGGAGCTGGAGTTGGAAATTTTTTATCCGACTCTGTCACCCAGGAGAAAATTTTTTGTTTACTTAAATGCAAGGTTGTTAACTGTCAATTGCAAGAAATTTTCATTTTTAGTTAATGGATGATTGGGAGATCAATTTCGTTTAGATATAACGAGGAGGTTTTTTAAATTGATGCATCATATTTCAAATTTTTATGCTTTAAATTTATTTTAAGTTAAATTGGAAAAAAGTTTAGTTTCCATTACTGTGTTTGAGTCTCTTGGTGGGATGGAACTTAGGTTAAAATATATTCAGATCACTAAGACTACCACGAATCTCAATTTCTTGGATCCTTCCCATTCCTATATGCATGTGTGCATGTGCATGTGTGCGTGTATGTGTGTACATGTGAGTGTGTGTATGCGTGCGTGTGTACATATGCGTGCTGTTATGTTTATGTTAAATTTATCTTTATGCCTCGTGAGTGAGGCGGTGAGTCAGATGATGTTGAGCAATTTTTAATGAAGAAAATAATTTAAGAAGCTGCATGCAGCTTGATGCATTTGCACTGCAAGCTAACTTATTGGATGGCGACATCAGACGTATCAACCTGCTAGAGATGACACCAGACCCACACGTTCAATGAACAAGACAACCATTGTGGCAAAAATGTCTCTTACGTGTTTTTGTTTCATTCATAATTTATTCTTAGTAAAATTTCAACCCGTACACCTTACATTTTAAAAGTTTGAAATATTTTAGAAAATCATTTTCATTAAACTACAATATTTTTTTATATTGTAATAAAACGTTAAAAATCCAATAGAAACAATTCTCATGAAATATATTTAAAATTTTTAAAATCTTAAAAATTTGTTTTGTTGCAAAAGTTGTGATTCACTTTGTGAAAAAGGGTTATTTATTTAAATTAATTTTAACAGAATTTTAACAAAGTAATAGCAGTAGGGTAAAACTCGTTGCAGTTGTGATGTAGTTTCGTTCCGTTATTTAAATTTACATAAATCTTCAGACAGGCCGAGAATAAATTCTTCGAACGCCACTGGGCGATTTAAAGATTTCAAACTCGTGAGGAAAAGCGTAGAGACAGAGAGAAAGACATGAGTTGTGCAAGAGGCATTTGCATACAACACGTGCGAACTCACATTAAAACGATTATTTATACGAAGGCTAAACATGGATACACAGTGCCATTTATTTATATAAATGTTTCTTCTCTCTTTTTATTCAAGTTTTTTTTCCTTGTTTATTCATTTGGCATCGATGCAACTTCACTTTATTTTGTTTCACTATGCAGAGTAAGGGGACAATTTCTAACTTCACGAGCATCATCCCATACAGGCCACATCTCATCTCATCACACCCACCACTTCACATTCTCTCTCATTCAAGATAATTTTGAAATTCAACATCATCAATATCACTCTCACTGAAAAATTTATCGTTACTCAAACTCCAACTATTTTTGAATCAAAAAATGCCTCGCTTACGTTTTCTAGAACATTTCTGTACAAACCAACAACTTATCAAAATAACATGATGTTATAGAAAAAATTCAATAATGTTAATCAAATTTCAGCTAATTAAAATGATTTGAATATAAAGTTACTTTAAAAAGTAGGAAATGTTATCAGTGAAAAACTTGTTAAAATGTATCAGTAATCTAACGAGATCATTATATTTAACAGGCACCCAATCAACATTTTCATTTCCTACCCTTTCTAGCTGGAACATTTCAAACTTTTAACTCTTAAATTTAACTCTTGCTAACAAAAATATTTTATAAATAGCGTTTTGAAAAAAAACAGTAGCCTGGCGTATTTTAAACAGCGCAAAGTTATTCGGTTAATGATGAGAGAATGAAAT